ATAGATAGATAGATAGATAGATAGATAGATAGATAGATAGATAGATAGATAGATAGATAGATAGATAGATAGATAGATAGATAGATAGATAGATAGGTTATTATACATTATATTATACATTATATTATACATTATATTATACATTATATTATACATTATTTCCGTTGTATTTTCAAAATGCTCTCAGATATTTGTATTTTTCAGGGTATTGCATTGAAGTCAGAAATCCCAGCCTCATGACAACACCAACTGGCAGCATGATAAAAGCTATCTAGCTAGTTTCACACTTGAACTCATTAACAGTATTAACAGAGAATTACTTTACCCCCAATGCATTCTCATTACTGAAAGTACTCCATTTGGTTTAGGTTAGAGTTCTGCCTGGGTAGAGCCTGTAGGAAACAGGACACATCCACTGGCTCGGTTCACTGGACTTTTATCTGTGCTGATCTTACGTGTACACTATTGGACATAAGGCAGACTCTGTACTAGAAAGCTGGCAGGACAAAGCCGCTTAATGCCTGATCTGTCTCCACCTGCATCAGGTAATGTCAAAATTAGGGTTGCGGTGTATGTGTGTCACAACAACTTTATACTGATGTGTGTGCCCTAGGCACACGTGCATAGACACACGTCTACATTTTGTGTGCCTCTGGGTCACTTGTTGAACCAGTCAGCAAAGTCTTGGTCTGTCTGATTGGAAAGCAGTGGGTCATCGGGAGCGTGTTTGAGACAAACAAACAATAACACCCTGTACTTTTCCACTGATTTTAATAAGCAGGTAAAGGAGTGGTCTTTGAAAAGAGATCTAGAGCAATCTTGCCTCCTGTGTGTTTGTCACACAAGATTTGAATTTTCAGTTGATTGAGGCTTCCTGTTTCTTGTGTGTACAAACACTCTTAGGCCTGCTCAGCCACACGCACTGGTGTATTGTTGTGATATAGTGGGGAATGTAAACAGTTCTTTCTTATACACACGCCTGCCTATTCTGTCTACGTTTATTTGACGTAAGAAGAAGGAAACAACCCTTAAATAGTAGCTGTGACATTTACTTTCTGTAGTACAAAGCTTCACGACAAAGCAGAGATTGTTTTTAAATGCACATTTTGCTTTTAAAATAGTCATATTTTATGTTGAATTCAATTCTTGACCCTATTTTTTTTAAATTACAGTGATAGAATGACTATGTATTCTAGATGCAGGGATATGTTCAAAGAGAAAATCTGAAACTTTAAATATGTTTTTGGCTTCTGGGGAAGAATGTGGGTAATTTCATATAACCTCTAATATTAATGAGTCTTTCTGGGATGCATAAAGTGGAAAAATAAAGTCTGTTGGACTGTTTTAGAAGAAAAATGCTTAATAAATTTGCAGTTGTTTTCAGTGCTGGGAACAAAGCTGTAATTTTTGTAAGTTAGTTTGAAAATGCTGTCATTTTTTTAACCAACTAGATTTTTTTCTTACAATTTAAAACTAGCTGAACTTTGGAATGTGTGTTACATTTTTAACTTTTTTATGTGTGTTTGTTTCTCTGGGTGCATTTACTAAACAGGAACCAGCAGAGGGCTGGGATGAAAGGGTTAAGTAAGACTGGGGGGAACATGAAAGAAACGTACACAGCTGCTGGGCATGTTAAGCTCCTCTACACCACTGTGACGACCTGTTGGAACAGATATACGGATGGTGAATAGGATACCGCAACACAGAAACCATCACACTCAGTGTAAAAAGTGACTAAGTTCAAGGTCGCTCATTTAACATTAAAATTCGCCAAAAGCGGACTTTTCCCCCAGTAGTTTTTTTCTAACACAAAACTGTTTTTTGAACACGTTTATTTTGAATAGTACAGAGAAACTGAATGCCAGATTGTCGGGTACTGTTTGTTTCTTCTTTATGCTATATGTGTGCGTAAAGGATTAACAACAGGAGCGGGCATAAAAAGGAAATAAACAAAGCAAAGAATAAAAACAACAAAAATGGTTCGTCAACACGAAATGTGGCCGCGCGGACTTGCAGTATTTTCAAACATCTCTTAGTTCTGTCTTAAATTCTGACATAAATATATGAGCTCACGTCCTCGGGCAGGATTGTGTGATTTTGGATTGTTTTTCGTCGTTTGTGCTTTTGTTTCCCCTTTTTCCCTCCCCCCCGACTTCCCGAATTTCCAACAGGGACTGAACGCACCACGATTTCACGCCGTGTACCTCTATTTTCAGAACGGTGACGTGAAGGCTCATACACTCCTCCTATATGTGGCTCGTCAGGCCGTGGCAGGCCCTGGGATTGGTGAGATGTAGTTGCTGTAGCAGCTTATGACGGAGCTGTGAGGAGGAGGGTGGGAGCTGTATAAAGGCACACTCACAGGCTCCGAGACCTTCACTCTGGAGGAGGAAAGCGAGTGTTTGGGTTGTTTAACGTTTCACCAAGGGACCTCCAACCCCTGTATTTACCAACAACAGGCGTCTATTTCCCAACACTGTACCGTCCTAGCACACGGACTCTCTAGTGAGAAATCCCCTCTACCTCGACTAATAAATGCCAAGAGAAACAACCCAAGCGCCCAGAGATAAGGATCGCTGCTCCGAATTTGACAGAAAGACTACACAGTCGGACAAACAGAGGGAAAAACAACAAAAGCGCACGCATCGTCGCCGTTGCCTTTCTCAATGCATACCCTTTGTGCCCGGGGAACGATGAAACCAGAGATTAACGCCGCCGTCGGATTTCTGTCGAGATTTCTGAGGGTAAAAGGACACGTAAACGATCGACAGGTCCAAACGTTCAGCCAAAGCTTACAGGACATTTTGGCAGGTAAGGAAACACGCAACAACAAAAAAATCCACTTCCGTTCACAAAATCCCTTTTAGACTTCTAATATACCATTCCACACATCGACTTCGGGGTTTGTTTCACGGATCGGTGGTTAACTTTGAGTTCTAATAGATTTGAGAATGATTCAGAAGAAGCCTTTCTTTGTTCTCCTAAGTATCACTTTCAGCGCTACCATAGCGCACCGCTAATTGCGCACATCGGAGAGAGGAAAACGCACTGGATGATCCAAGGCGATTTGTCGCCAGTTTTCGTCGACGCAAATGAATATTTCGAAGTAAAAATAATGTTGAAAATACGAATTGGTTAAAGTTTAATGTATGTGCTGTTTTTAGCTTGAAGGGTGGGGGCGGGGAGAGAGAGAGGGACGCTCGACTGGCTCGAACAAGGAAGTGCGCCTCTGAGTCGCCCGATAGTGCACACAGAATAGAGCAAAAACATCCCCCAGTGAGACGACACAGGATTACGTAATGCTAAGAACGAACTGATTTAATAATAATGAAAGACTGTCAGTGTTAAGACCACACTTTATTAGCTGTTTGGCACTGCGCACACGACCTTTTGATGTGTAGCACCCTTAATTTGCATTTGTTTATCTGCTTCGTGTTAAATTTGGAAGGTTGTTGATTTGCTCCACAACATATGTCACTCTTTTTGGTATTACCATGCGGTTAAAAGATGAGGTCATATTTCACCACGTCTCACATTTATTTCATTAGGGTTCCCACAGTCCACTTAACATGTGTATGTAAGGAATGGAGAGTAGACAAGGGAGAGAACAATGCTTTTACGTTTCAGGAAATGAAGCCTTAGTTGTACACCCAGGCTTAGTTTGACTATTACTGGGTTTTATAGCAGATGTTGCAGAACAGTACAGCTCAGGGATTGTCTCATTTTTTGCTGTAAACGCATTCCTCTCTCAGGGCTCTTAAAGCTCCTATACATCTGTCTAATTCCATCCACATGCAACAGCAGATGACCTACATTTTCCTATATAAGAGTCTCTCACAAAAATAGCTCTTAAACTGCTAAATGGTTGCAAGATCCTGTCCATATGGAGCAAGTTAGGCTATTTATTTCTATTTAGAATAGATTACAAAGATTTCCATCTTTCAATCATGACCAAAAAGTCACCATTTGGACCTGCTGATATCTGAAAATGGTTCTAGGGGTTTTTATTTATCAATCACACAGTTGGAGGGATGAACAGTATGGTATAGTGTGTGGGTAGAGCAAATTATGAGTAAAGCATTTGCACAAAATGCCAGTGAGCAGTCAATTCAGGGGGTTGGCGTATGTAAACAGACAAAAGTTGGAGTCTGCTGTGAGGCCTTTGTGGGGGGAGGGGAGATGTTTTGGTGGGCGCCTAGAGGCAGACGTTGAAGACGGAAAGGCAAAATGGAGGGGAAATCTACTGGAACAGCCTATATTTAGTGATCGCAAACATCAATTAGAACAAATAGTGTAAATTATAAGCTTTGTATAGCTGCAAGTGCAACACTCATTAGCTTTATTTTCTAAAAGAAAAATAAATTGGCTCCACCGTGTCCAGGTTTGTTTTTGTTTTTTTGTTTTCTTGGATGAGGGAAATATGTGAAAACAAAAGAGAGTGTGTGGTAGTACCCCGTGGGCCTTGCCACTGCTAAAATAGGGCAGCCGGAGCTCTTTTGTGCTTTGAATCCTCACAGTTACTGTTGTGTCTGCATGCTGAAAAGCAGAGTTCCTCGCTTCTCCTGTTTGTGCTGCGCAAAGGGAAGTGAGGAAATGAGTCCCAAAGGCCAGATTGCAACCACAGAGATTGTGTAATTGTAGAAGGCAAGGTTCTTGGTTTGTCTAAAAAGTAACAGACAAGGTTCTCAAATGGAAATTACCCAACGGTCCAAAACGGAGCCATGGTCAAGGTCAGCTACAATGAGTAAACAACCCTCTTTGGTTAAACTCTTTAGGTTAAGCGCAC